ACATCTCTCGACCCCGCCCTCAATTTAGGCATCTTCTCCAAACGCCAGAAAAGCAATCCTCGGAAATCGCCTTCGCACTGAAATAAGCCACATTCAAGAGCACTCTTACAATTATTTTCCTAAGTCCTTTCATCTTGGTAGGCTGCAAAATGTATTACTTGGGAACAGGGGAAGGCAAAATGGTAGCCAGCTAAATCCGCCAAAGCTGTGCGTTGCCATAGAAACAGCTTAGTTTACTTCCTGCGTCACCGGACGCTGTTGATGGAAAGGCGCACCGTGAGTGGAGGACGTTCCCACTGCCTGAAGAATGATTGTAAGATTGATTTGCCAACAGGCGGGTGCATATCCCTCGATCCACAAGCAATAGACAGAACGGAAATTCTAGGTTAGGATTCTGGGATCCTAACCTAGCATGAAAGATAAAGGCCGGGAGCACGAAGGCAGCAGGACCTCTTCCTTCTCTTTTTTATTTTTCTATGCTTTTTTTCTGCCCTCTACTTATCTATCTCTTTCAAGAAACGAGACTGGACACGGTGGCTCACGCCTGTAAACCCAGTTCTTTGGGAAACCGAGGCGGGAGGATCGCTTGAGGCTAGGAGTTCGAGACCAGCCTGGGCAATATAGTGAGACCACCTTCCCCCATCTCTACAAAAGAAAAAAAAAAAAAAAGAATGAAATGACTTAAGTTCTTACCTCCATTCTTCTTTTTGGATCCGAGGTATGAGAGGGACTGCCTGCAGGAGGCTTTATCGCCCTTTTAGGAGAACTCGTTTAGCTGCCCCGTGTCCGTGTCTAATAGGTCCTCCGTAGATACTTGTAGAGGTGGATTAATGGACGCCAGAGATTCACATTTCCGAATTATTGCATATTTATTTGGGTTACCCTATGGATTCATTCATTTATTTAACAAATAGTTTAATGAATGGCTACCCTGTACCAAGGTTTGTGTCGGATGACACAGCAGTAAACAAACAAATCTCTGCCCTCGTGGAGCTTACATCCTACGAAGGGGAGCAAGACCGTGAGCAAGTAAAATAGATGACACGTTAGAAGATGATAATTTCTGTGGAGAAAATTAAGCAGAGAGGCCACTGTAAAAGAGGCTTTCCCCCTTTTGAGATGGGAAGTATGTAAGAGAGGCTTCCCCGTCTTTGAGATAGGAAGTAGTTAAGGGTTCTGAACAGAAGGGTGACTCTATCTGACTTCCTTATTGACAAAGTCGCTGTGTTGAGACTGAAGGGAGGCGAAGTCACCAGCAGGAAGATAATTATAGGTTCCTGTAGTGATATGATGAGAGGTGATGCTGTGTAAACAGAGGTGATGAGTACTGGAATTCTGAATATATTTAAATTCTGGCAGGATTTGCTGGTGGATGAGGAATGAGAGAGAGGAGTAAAGGATGACTCCAAAGTTGTATGAAATAGATGTAAATAAGTCACTTTTAAAATCAGATCCTCTCTTAAATACATCAGAATGGAACTTGTACCTTGTAGCCTACTACCCTACTCAGTGTTCTCTGTCCCGGGAAGAAATGTGCTAGAAATTTCACCATTAGATATTAATTTGTTAAAGTTCTATATGTAAGTCCTCCTGGGAGGAGTAACACATGAAGTGTGAGTTTCATTCGTTTGCTTATGTATTATTCATTCCACAAACACTTACTGAGCACTGAGACTTAGCGCCTGATATAGCTGTGAGCATCGTTGTCATGTTGCTGCTTTCGTGGAGCAGTTGTCTAGTGGGGAAACTGACATAAACATAACCAACTGTGAACCGAGCTCTGCGGGAAAATAGTGGCATGAATGCCCAGAAGCCTGATCTGGCCTGACGAGTCAGGGAAAGGATCACTTGGACGAGGGTCATTTAAGGCATTTTTCAAACTGCAGGTGATGACCCATTAGTAAAGCATGATCAGAATACTTTTTAAAACAAAGTATGGGCCGGGCGCAATGGCTCACGCCTGTAATCCCAGCACTTTAGGAGGCCGAGGTGGGTGGATCATTTAAGGTCAGGAGTTTGAGACTAGCCTGGCTAACATAGTGAAACCCTGTCTCTACTAAAAATACAAAGATCAGCCAGGCATGGTGGTATGTGCCTGTAATCAGCTACTTGGGAGGCTGAGGTACAAGAATCACTTGAACCCAGGAGGTGGAGGTTTCAGTGAGCTGAGATCACACCACTGCACTCCAGCCTGGGTGACAGAGTGAGACTGTCTCAAAAAAAAGGTAAAGCAGGAGTGAAACTACAAGGGATGTTGGAGTCTCCTGGGATCTAGGAAAGAAATAGTTACCTAAGACCAGAGAGAGACGTTTGGAGAGAATTTTGCCTGACAGGAGCCATGACCTTTGATAGAGGAACAGAACCAACCAGTGATATTCTGGCAGAGAAGGAGCAGGGAGAATAAATGCCTGATTTCATTTCCCTACACTGAATCTCTTTCTGGAATCTCCCATGGACATACTCCATATGGGTCCGTCTCCCAGAGCACAGAAAATGTTAGGGATTTCACCTAGAAAAGTGACACTGTCTTAAGCTGGTGATGGGTCAGTGGGACTTTACAAGGTGAAGAGGTGAGGGAAGAGTGGTTCCACTGGAAGGAATAGCAGGTGCAAAGACCCTGAGTTGCAAGGGAGCATGAGTCCATAGGAGAACTGAAAGAAGCCCCTTGTGGCTGGAGCCCAGAGAGCAAGGAAAGGGCAATCGTAGTTGGGTCTAGAGAGGAACAGAGGGCCCAGACCATACAGACCTTGTGGACCAAGTCAAGAATTTTGTTCTTTGTCCTAAGGCAATGGGAAACCATTGAAGGGTTCTAGGGAGGGACATGGTCAGATTTTCCATTTTCAAATATCACTTCCTGAACCTTCTGTCAGTATATCAGAAAGAAAAAAAAATTTAAATTAAAAGATCACTTCCAATTTAGTGCTTGTTGGAGTAGTTCAAGCAAAAAAAGAAAACAAGGAAAAAATCAAACAAACAAACACAGCAACAACTAGGTCCAACTTGGGAGATACAAAAATAGAAGGTAAAATCCGCCTGGGCGCCTTGGCTCACACCTGTAATCCCAACACTTTGGGAGGCCGAGGTGGGTGGATCACCTGAGGTCATGAGTTCCAGACCAGCCTGGCCAACATGGTGAAACCCCGTCTCTAATAAAAATACAAAAATGAGCTAGGTGTGGTGGCAGGTGCCTGTAATCCCAGCTACTCAGGAGGCTGAGGCAGGAGAATCGCTTGAATCCAGAGGCAGAGGCTGCAGTGAGCCAAGATGGCACCACTGCACTCTAGCCTGGGGGACAAAGTGAGACTCCGTCTCAAAAAAGAAAAAAAGAAGGCAGAATCCACAGGCCTTGGTAATGGTTTGGATTAGGAGGATGCTGATATCCAGATGAAGAAGGTGGCAGGAATGAGTACTGGGTTCTCACATGAGGAATGAGAAGCCAGAACGGCAGGAAGGCACTGGAATCTGCACAAGCGCAGCCCTGTCTTACCCTTGGGAAGCACAGTTACCTGTTATGCCCCAAGCCTAAGAAAGTGGAAAACAAAGAATCAACATCATCAAAAGAAAAATATTGACGGGTGCAGTGGCTCACGCCTGTAATCCCAGCACTTTAGGAGGCCGAGGCAGGTGGATCACCTGAGGTCAGAAGTTCAAGACCAGACTGACCAACATGGGAGAAACCCCCGTCTATACTAAAAATACAAAATTAGCCGGGCATGATGGCACGTGCCTGTAATCCCAGCTACACCACAGGAGGCTGAGGCAGGAAAATCACTTGAACCCGGGAGACAGAGGTTGCAGTGAGCCGAGATCACGCCATTGCACTCCAGCCTAGGCAAGAAGAGCAAAACTCCATCTTAAAAAAAAAGAAAGATATTCTGCTTAATACGATGCTGCTTCCTCCTAAAACTGCCCCTGCATCAGGAAATCTGGCTAGTTTGAAGTATTTTTTCAAATTTATAGGAAGATTCTGTTTTATATGTTTGAATTTTTGCGTATCAGATTTTTGTTGCAAGAGTCATATTTGCACCACCTCTCTCAGAGTTACTTTATTGTGGACGAATTTACATTGGAAACTCACACTCACTGTCCATTCAGCACAACACAAAATTCTCCACAGGTGTTCTCACTGCAAAGCTCATTTAAGCAGAAAGGATTCTGGTGCACTCTGGAGGGGTAGCATCTTGACAGCCGTGTCAAACTGATTCCGATTTCCAGGATTAATATAGTTTTTCTTTCTTCCTTTTTTTTTTTTTGAGACGGAGTCTCGCTCTGTCCCCCAGGCTGGAGTGCAGTGGCGCAATCTCGGCTCACTGCAAGCTCCACCTCCCGGGTTCACGCCATTCTCCTGCTTCAGCCTCCCGAGTAGCTGGGACTACAGGCGCCCGCCACCACGCCTGGCTAATTTTTTGCAATTTTTAGTAGAGACGGGGTTTCACCATGTTGGCCAGGATGGTCTCGATCTCCTGACCTTGTGATCCGCCCGCCTCGGCCTCCCAAAGTGCTGGGATTCCAGGCGTGAGCCACCGCACCCAGCCCCAATTAATACAGTTTTTCTAAATGTCATCTCAATTATTCCTCTAAGCACACGTGGAGCAAATTCCATTATCTGGCGGATAAGATGGATTGAGTGATCTAATTAAATGTTAGAGTAATTAGAATGATAGAAAAAATCAAGTATATAGAGATTACCAATTAAAATTGTGATACCATGGAACACTCTAAAACCAGGTTGAACATTAATTTACCTTAAGAAGAGGCCCACAGAGTGCGTGTGTCTTGAGTTTGGTAGAGCAGTAAGAATTCGGTCAACTTCTTCATAGACCTGCGGTCCGTGATGTCGATGTTTCTTTCGCCTCTGAGACTGCTCCACTCTGCACAAAGAGGTGACAGTCACAGCTCCCGTAATCATTTAATTTTCTCTGAATAAAATGATATCGAAATAACTGAAACATCATTGAAGACTTGCATAAACTAATCTCAGTGTTTCCTTCCCATTTTAGGTAGCCGCACTTCTGTGAGATTATAAATATTCCACGGAGGGTAACGGAACTACGGGAGAATGGAAGAGTATGTTTACAATTCCTATGTTTTTTGTATACATGTATTTAAATTATGCCTTCTGTGAAAGGTCTGTGTATACCTTATCTACTGCTGTGTGACAGATCACCCCAGAACTTAGTGACTTAAAATACAAACATTTATTCTTTCCCACAGTTTCTGCAGGTCCCAAGGTTAGGAGCAGGTTAGCTGGATGGTGCTGGCTTGGGGTCTCTCCTGCACTTGAAGTTGGCCATGGGTGGCAATGATGGCAATGATCTGAAGACCTGATGGGGGCTGGAGTATCCACTGCCAAGGTGGTTCATTGACAGAGCTGGCAAGTTGGTGCAGGCTGCCGGCAAGAGGCCTTTGCTCCTTTCCCTCACGGGTGTGTCCACAGTGCTGCTGAAATGTCCTCATGCCGAAGCAGCTGTCATCCCTCACACTGAGAGGTTTGAGAGAGGAAGGCAGAAGCTGCGATGTCTTTTATCACTTAGCCGTGGAAGTCCCACTCCGTCATTGCCACAATAACCTTCCGGTTACATAGGCTGGTCCTACTCAGTGTGGCGTAGACTACACAGAAGCATTAATACTAGAAAGTGAGAATCATTTGGGCCACCTTGGAGGCTGGATACCACATTCTGTTTTTCACTCATCAGGAGACACTTTTGGTTAGCATCTAAAGATACTCCTAGGGAAAAAAAGTTAATTTTGGCTCAAATTCAAATTGATCAGCATAGCCAAATTGCATGAGCTACATAGCTTTATTAAACAGTAGGTCAGGTGTGGTGGCTCACACCTGTAATCCCAGCACTTTGGGAGGCTGAGCTGGGTGGATCACCTGAGGTTGGGAGTTCAAGACCAACCTGACCAACATGGAGAAAGCCCGTCTCTACTAAAAACACAAAATTAGCCGGGTGTGGTGGCGGCGCCTGTAGTCCCAGCTACTCAGGAGGCTGAGGCAGGAGAATCGCTTGAACCTGGGAGGCAGAGGTTGCGGTGAGCTGAGATCACGCCATTGCACTCCAGCCTGGGCCACAAGAGCGAAACTCCGTCTCAAAAAAAGGAAAAAAAAAAAAAGTAAGTTGTTTGCCTTTGGTTGGTCAAAATGGAAGATATTTAGCAGAATCACACTCAAACTCCTACTTTTTTTTTTTTTAATCTAGGTTATATTATATGACAACAAGAATATCACAGGAGCCCAGCACATTGCTGCCTGTACTTTTGAGTTAAAGTAATGTTTAAATATTGGTCGCTGACTCATTTTTTCTTTATTCTTTCCTTAGAGACAGCCTGGAAGACTCAAACCTTCCTCCAAAAGTTTGGCATTCTGAGATGACAGTGTCAGTGACAGGCAAACCACCTAGTACCGTAGAAGAAGACGGACTACCTAAAGAAACAGACGTAGAAACCATCCCAGAAATCCTAGAAACCCGAGAGCCACTCTCGCTTCCAGATGTGCTGAGGATCTCGGCAGTTCTGGAGGACACCACAGACCAGCTCTCTATTCTAAACTACATCATGCCCATTCAGTACGAAGGAAGACAGAGTGTCTGCATGGTATTTACCCGCTCACGATGAGACTATGAGTTACTTTTGCTTTATTTTTTATTTCTCCCTCATTTATAGTACCTATCTCATTAAATGTATTGATTTATCTTTCTCTCTCTCTTTCCTTCTTCTTTTTTTTTTTTTTTTTTTTTCTGACAGGGTCTCGCTCTGTGGCCTAGCCTGGAGTGTAGGGGTGCTGTCACGGCTGACTGCGACCTTTACCTCCCAGGCTCAAGTGATCCTCCCACCTCAGTCTCCTGGGTAGCTGGGACTACAGGTCTGCACTACCACACCTGGCTAATTTTTTAATAAAAGTTCTGTAGAGATGGGATCTCACTGTGTTGTCCAGGCTGGTGCCATTAAATATCACTTGGGAAATAGCACCTTTATTTCAGATAAAGGGCTACACTACCTATCTGAGATATGTACTCTCAATTGATGGAGTGAAATGGTCATAACTGAAGGTACATTACCGGACAGAATATCCTTTTCCACTATGTTGGCATTATCCAAAAAGGCCTGTACGGAAATCAGTATAAGTACAATACGGAAGAGAGGGAATGACTAAGCCGTCCGCGCAGCTTGTGTTTCTCAGCTGCTGAACCCTAACTGAACACTAGGGGGAGGAAGTTCAGCTCCGGCCTTCACTTCGCTTTAATCTAAAATGACTTGTCATTGGTGAATACGTTGTAACTTGCCTTCCTGAATATCCAGCCGCATTACTGTGTCAGCCATTACATTTTCTTTTTTTTTTTTTTTTTTTTTTGAGACGGAGTCTCGCTGTGTCGCCCAGGCTGGAGTGCAGTGGCCGGGTCTCAGCTCACTGCAAGCTCCGCCTCCCGGGTTCACACCATTCTCCGGCCTCAGCCTCCCGAGTAGCTGGGACTACAGGCGCCGCCACCTCGCCCGGCTAGTTTTTTGTATTTTTTAGTAGAGACGGGGTTTCGCCGTGTTAGCCAGGGTGGTCTCGATCTCCTGACCTCGTGATCCGCCCGCCTCGGCCTCCCAAAGTGCTGGGACCACAGGCGCCGCCACCGCGCCCGGCTAGTGTTTTGTATTTTTAGCAGAGACGGGGTTTCACCTGGTTAGCCAAGCCCTTACATTTTCAATCGTGTTTTGGACTGCTCTGTGAAGCAGCACTGAGTTATTAGAAAATTAATTTAGTAGTGAGCAAAGTCTTTATACATGTTTAGCTCTTGTACATTTCAATAACTTAGGTTGTAGGTATAAAATGGAAACAATTTATAAATAGAAATACATATTTATCAAGTTTTACATAATAGCATTATATAACTTGTGCAGAAGATACTCTTTTTTATTTTTATTTTTTTTATTTTTATTTTTTTGAGACGGAGTTTCGCTCTTCTTGCCCAGGCTGGAGTGTCTGGGCTCACGGCAACCTCCGCCTCCTGGGTTCAAGCGATTCTCCTGCCTCAGCCTCCCGAGTAGCTGGGATTACAGGCCTGCACCACCACACCCAACTAATTTTGTATTTTTAGTAGAGATGGGGTTTCTCCATGTTAGTCAGGCTGGTCTTGAACTCCCAACCTCAAGTGATCTGCCCGCCTTGGCCTCCCAAAGTGCTGAGATTACAGGCGTGAGCCACCGCACCCGGCCCAGAAGATATTCTTATGTCTGATTCTATGACCAATGAAAATTGCTACATAAATGAGAGGGTAAAATGCTTTTCTTTTTTTTTGTTTTGTTTTGTTTTGTTTTTGATTTTCATGTCTAACAGTAAAGAAGTCTATATTTATCGAGAGAAGAAAATTACATTTCCCTTTACTTTTCCATTAAAATTTCAAATTTTTAAAATTATTATTGTTACACATACAGTCTGGGTTCTTAAAGCTTTCATTAAAGTTTTAAAAGTTTAGATAAGATTTTATAGAGCAAGCCGGGCAAGGTGGCTCAAGCCTGTAATCCCAGCACTTTGGGAGGCTGAGACGGGCGGATCACAAGGTCAGGAGATCGAGACCATCCCGGCTAACACGGTGAAACCCCGTCTCTCCTAAAAAATACAAAAAACTAGCCGGGCGAGGTGGCGGGCGCCTGTGGTCCCAGCTACTCCGGAGGCTGAGGCAGGAGAATGGCGGAAACCCGGGAGGCGGAGCTTGCAGTGAGCTGAGATCCGGCCACTACACTCCAGCCTGGGCGACAGAGCCAGACTCAGTCTCAAAAAAAAAAAAAAAAAAAAAGATTTTATAGAGCAACGGCTTTGGAGTCAGGAGGCGTCTGGGATATAGTTTTGTGCTGTTAGCAGTCACTTCACTTTTTTGGTCTAAGTTTTCTCATTTGTAAGTTGTAATGGAGTTTTACCTAAATAACCCATAGATCCCTTGTAGTGCCAGCCTTCTATGAGTTTTGGGGTAGTTTTAAAATAATACAAGTATCACAGGAATTGTATAATGTAAGTTAACTTCCTTGTTAACTTATGAAGGCCAAACAGATAAGAATCTAAGAACAAAATCTTCCATTGCATTTAAAATAAGAGTCTAATCTTAACAATTTAAGATGGCTAACAAATAGAACACAAGAGACTGGTGTGTTCTTCCTATTTATTATCTCCTTCAACAAGAATCAAAAATAAAATGGGTGCTTTGGGAGGCCAAGGTGGGAGAAATGCTTGAGGCCAGGAGTTTGAGACCAGTCTGGGCAGCAGAGAAGACCCCATCTCTACCGAGAAAATACAAAAATTAGCCAGGCCTGGTGGCTACACCTGTATTCCCAGCTACTCAGGAGGCTGATATGGGACGGTCATTGGAGCCCATGAGACTGAGGCTGCAGTAAGCCAAGGTCATATCACTGCATGCCAACCTGGGTGACAGAGTGAGACCTTGTTGAAAGAGAAAGAAGGAAGGAAGGAGGGAAGGAAGGAAGGAAGGAAGGAAGGAAGGAAGGAAGGAAGGAAGGAAGGAAGGAAGGAAGGAGAGAAAAGGGTATGTAAGGAAGGAGAAGGGATCGGAAGGAAGGAAGGAGGGAGGAAGGGAAAGAAGGAGGGAGGGAGAAAGGGAAGGAAGGAAGGAAGGAAGGAAGGAAGGAAGGAAGGAAGGAAGGAAGGAAGGAAGGAAGGACAAACAAATGGGAAGACATTCAGTTAACAAATGAAGTCTTTTCAATGCTACCTGCTGTCAGCCTAACTTGCCATCATGGAATCTCAAGAATGAAAACACTGAATTAATCGACAGTATTCAGCAGCAGTCACTTCTCCAGTAAATAAAAGAATGAAACTTTTGCACTGCTTTTTTCTGGTTTATTATAGTGACCTTTTACCCACAGAATTTTCTGACTCAACAGAAACCCCCCTTGGGATTTTGCTGTAGTGTAAATAGTAATATTTAGTATGTATAATTATGGTAACTTTACCATAATCATGTTGATTAATAGCAATTTAAAAGCCCATTTCTCAATATGTTAGTTTCATATCTTTTAAAAATTGTGAATCTCTTAAAATATTTTTTGGTTTTTATTTCATGGTACTATAGTTGTTCTGACTCATGAATTTGAGGATGCTGCTGCCCCGTAGGGCCTAGGCTATATATTTTTAAATGTTAGTATGTATATAGATGTTTTCTTTCCCAAAGGCTTGACATCCTTTAGCCTCTTAACAACCTTGAAAGGAAAGGTTAGCATTATCCCTCTCTTAAAGCCGTTTTTACAGCTAAGGCCATCTCCAGGTACATTTTCCTGTATTAGAATTATGAAATGAAAGGATGAAACATATATTAATTACCTGGCTCTACCATAAATGAGAGTGATTTGACCAAAGTTTGGAAAGAACTTTCTTGCAGGGAATACTGTTTTTCTTCTCTTTTTCTTTACAGTAAAAAACCCTGTCTTGTACATAGTGTGTGCAATATAAAATATATAAATTATATATATATAAATTTTTAGAGGCCAGGCATGGTGGCTCACGCCTGTAATCTCAGCGCTTTGGGAGGCCGAGGCAGGTGGATCACCTGAGGTCAGGAGTTTGAGACCAGCCTGGCCAAAATGGCAAAACCCCTTCTCTACTAAAAATACAAAAAAATTAGCTGTGCATGATGGTGCTCGCCTGTAATCCCAGCTACTCAGGAGGCTGAGGCAGGAGAATTGCTTGAACCCGGGAGGCAGAGGTTACAGTGAGTGGAGATTGTGCCACTGTAATCCAGCCTGAGCAACAGAGTGAGACTCCATCTCAAAAAAAAATTTTTTTTAGTGAGTCAACTAGAACACTTAGCTCATTTCTTTAATTTTATTCTAAAAATTCACATTTCTTTCTAGTAATAGGTAAGTCAGGCCATGTGACACATTTGCGTCCTTTTCCAGATGTCCAAGTATAAAGGTAGAGGAATAGTGGTTAGGGAACTCAGAAAATGGGACATCCCAGAGGTCACAGTGAGACGAGATCGTGCCACTGCGCTCCAGCCTGGGCGACAGCGAGACTCCGTCCCAAAAGAAAAAAGAAAAAAGACAGTGGGGCCTCCTAGACCTTACATTTTCCCCTTATTGCCTTAGACAGAATCTAAAATAATAACCGTTTATTTTACCAGCGGACACAGAGATGTTAAATAGTTGCCCAAGGTCAATACAGTTGAGAGATGGAGCTGGACTCAAACACGGTTTCAGAACCCACATGTGTAGTCACTGCATTGTGTGGCCTCTCAGTGGCTCAAGCGTTTAGCCACAGTTTAATTTACACAGGCATCATCAACTGAAAGGCATATGCTGTTCCTGTGGTCCCTTAATATTCAAGTTTGGGTCTGAAAAAGAAATGATTTTGGCTTTTCCCTCCATGATCCTCAAAATCTACACCATGCCACTAAATGTACTATCAACCTCTGCTTTTAGTGTGATTCTCCTTTTTTAATTTATTTTTCATGTTCATATGTTCAATGAGCATTTGCGTCTCTGCTATATGCTAGTCATTGTTCTAAGCAATGGGACTGTAAAGATGGCCACATTTATTGAATATCCAATCTTGTTCCAAAAATAACTTGAGACTAGTCTTCAAAAAAAGTTTTTTTTGAAGGGGAACCAAGATCGCTAAGACACTGTCCCCTCCCTCCTAGAAACCACGACCTGATGGAGATACTTTATAAAAAATTACAATATGAGAAATGCCTGCTAACAGAGATATTTCACAAAGAACTTTACTTTTGAGCAGAGTGTAGCAGGTGGTAAGTTGGGGAATGACAGAGGGGGAATGTTGTGTGAAGTTAGCAGCAGGGCATGGTTTGGTGTGGCTGAAGAAAGGGGCACATTTTCTTGGAGGATAGGGTAGAAGTCAGAGACGATAACATTGAAAAATGTAGACAAAGGCCTCTTTCTTGTGGTTGTCTCTTTAACAAAATTATTTCTAATACTGTTTATTGTTTTAAAAGAAAAGCAGAGAAATGAATCTAGAAGGAAAGAATCTAGACAAACTTCCAGTGGCTTCAACAGTTACAAAAACACCCAGTCCGTTAATAACCAAGGAAAGACCCAGCTTGCCAGAAATCAGACAAGGAGGCCAGTTCGCTGTGGAGTTTTGCAAGACTCAGGATCTTCTCTTCAAAAAACCTGCAAGGCAGACCATCATGACTACGGAGACACTGAAGAAAATTCAGATTGATAGGTAAGGAGGGAAGACATTTGGCAGTGGACTTACGTATTTATACATAGATGAGAGAATGGGTGCCCGGGTGGCTGACTGCTCTCTTCTACGGGTTAGTCATTACTGTGTATGCAAAATGACTGCTGAGAATAAAATTAGCTCAAGACTGCCTAGAGGCAGGGTGATATGAATAGAAAGCAAGGCGGCTATATGATATTGCATAAGTTATTAAGTCTTTTCTTTTTTGTTTCTTTTTTTTTTTTTTTGAGACGGAGTTTCGCTCTTGTCGCCCAGCTGGAGTGCAGTGGTGTGATCTCGGCTCAGTGCAGCCTCCACCTCCCGGGTTCAAGCAATTCTCCTGCCTCAGCCTCCTGAAGAGCTGGGATTACAGGTGCATGCCACCACGCCCGGCTAATTTTTGTATTATTTAGCAAAACCCCAGGTTTCACCATGTTACCCAGGCTACTCTTGAACTCCTGACCTCAGGTGATCCACCTGCCTCTGCCTCCCAAAGTGCTGGGATTACAGGCGTGAGACACTGTGCCCGGCCGTTTGTCTTTGTTTCCAATTTTTATTTTATTTATTTTTAAAATCTTTTTCTTTTTTTTTTTTCCTTCAGACGTATACCTGCAGACGGTTTATTTTTTAGAGACGAGGTCACTCTGTAGCCCAGGCTGGAAGCCAGTGGCTACTGACAGAGGTATCATACAGCATGCCGCCCTCAAGCGTCTGGCTTCCAGTGATCCTCTCACAGGGCTGGGACGACAGGCGCGCTGGCTGTTTTCAATTACTAAAAAATGCAGAGAATGGGCCAGGCGCCAGGGCTCACACCTGTAATCCTAGCACTTTGGGAGGCCGAGGCAGGCAGATCACGAGGTCAGGAGTTCAAGACCAACCTGGCCAACAAGGTGAAACCCAGTCTCTACTAAAAATACAAAAATTAACCAGATGTGGTGGTGCATGCCTGTAATCCCAGCTACTCAGGAGGCTGAGGTAGGAGAAGTGCTTGAACCTGGGAGGCGGAGATTACAGTGAGCCGAGATGGCACCACTGCACTCCAGCCAGGGCAACAGAGCAAGACTCCGTCTCGAAAAAAAAAAGTGACAATGATAGCAACCTTGCAACATTAGTGTAAGGGTTAGAAATAAGGCTTTAGCCTAGTGCCTGGCACAAATTGGTAGCTATTGTGATGCTTTATCCATTAATAGCTACTTTATTATTTATTTATTATTTATTATTATTTATCTTTATTATTTATGTGATGCTTTATCCATTAATAGCTATTTCTTATTATTCTATATAGCCAAATTCCAAACTGTGTTTTAATCCTGAGGTTTCTTAAAGGCAGTCTAAATTCCCATTGTCTCATAATTTTTTATCGTTTGCTGCCTCAGTGACAAAGAAGCCTGTTAAGAGGGTGTAACATTATGTTGAGAACTTTTGGTAAATGAGAGTTTACTGCAATTACCCAGGGCCACTAGCTGTATCCAGTCTGAAGTCTGTTTTTGAAAATTTTTACTGGAATATGGCATTGCCCATTTGTTTATACGTTGTCTGTGACTGCTTTCATGCCACAGTGCAGAGCTGAGTCATTGCCAAAGAGAACTTATGCCCTGCAAAGCCAGATGTTTACTATTTGTCCCTTTACAGAAAAAGTTTGCTGACCTCGGTATTAGACCCTAACCAAGGGTAAGATCTCTCTAAAGTCAATCTGGCCCATATCTGCATCAGACAGAAAGGCATCCTGCTTATAAATTGCCCGGTTCATGTCCTTTTCATTCTCAGTGTGTGGCTCATATCTTTTCCTGAAAAACCCAAAATACCAGTCGCAATTATTTGTAGGGGATTAGTTTTAGATTTATATTCCATATGAAACCCAGGGTATACTCACAAAATGTACATCTCCACCAGTTATCCAGAATCAAAGTGGAAATCAAAATATCAAAGACATAAAAACTACAACAGGCCAGGCGTGGCGGCTCAGGCCTGTGATCCTAACATTGGGAGGCCAAGGTGGGAGTAAGGAAGGAGACCACTACTACTCCTGCTGCCCTGCTCCCCCCACCGTGCCTAGTTCACGAGACAGGAGGAGAGAAAAAGCAAAAAGCTAGAAAGAAACAAAAGTAAGATAAAAAGCCAGACAACCTTGGCACCACCACCCGAACTTGGAGTTTAAAAAAGTAATAATAATAACATCAACCCCTGACCTAAACTACTTGTGTTGTCTGTAAATTCCAGACACTGTATGAAAACAGCATTGTAAAACTTTCTGTTCTGTTAGCTGATGCATGTAGCCCCCAGTCATGTTTCCCACTTTTGCTCGATTTATCACGACCCTTTCATGTGGACCCCTTAAAGTTGTAAGTCTTTAAAAAGGCCAAGAATTTCTTTTTCGAGGAGCTCATCTCTTAAGACACGAGTCTGCTGATGCTCCCAGCCGAATAAAAAACCTCTTCCTTCTTTAATCCGGTGTCTGAGGAGTTTTGTCTGTGGCTCGTCCCACTACAGGAGAATTGCGTGAGCCCAGGAGTTTGAAACCAGCCTGGGTAACATATGAAATCTCATCTCTACTAAAAATCAAAAAAATTAGCTGGGCGTGGTGGTGCGCACCTGTGGTCCCAGCTACTCTGGAGGCTGAGGTGGGAGGATCACGCGAGCCTGGGAAATTGAGGCTGCAGTGAGCCGTGATTGTGCCACTGCACTCCAGCAGGGGTGACAGTGAGGCCCCATCTCAAAAAAAAAAAAAACTGAAAAAGCAAAACAACAACAACAAAAAAACTACAACACTTTATGAATTTAAAATGGGAATTTGTAGGAAGTTTGTGTATGCTTTCCTTGCTCTACTCATCTTTATGTATTATTGTCTTATTGCATTGAATTAATAATTACTTTATCGTAACATACTACTGTCAAAAGACAAAATTGCAACAAATCTAAATATCTTAACTGGCTTTTATTCGCAATTCTAAATCAGGCAACACCTCATTCTATGAAGTAGAAGTACTGTTCTGATGACCTGGGCAGAGGAGGTTGGCTTTACAGGCAGAAAAGGGCTGAAGAAAGCAGAAACAGAGAACATAACGTGAATGGTCTTGTCGAAGTTACTTTCCTGGCTGCAGGTGGTGGCTCACACCTGTGATCCCAGCACTTTGCGAGGCTGAAGTGGGAGGAGCGCTTGAAGCTAGGAGTTCAAGACCAGTCTGGGCAACATAGCGATACCTCATCTCCACAGAAATGAAAAAAATTAGCTGGGCACGGTGGCGTGCTTTAGTCTTAGCTACTCAGGAGGCTGAGGCGGGGGAGGACCACTCAAGCCCGTGAGGTAGAAGTTACAGTGAGTTATGATCATGCCACTGCATTCCAGCCTGAGTGACAGGGTGAGACCCTGTCTCTAATTAATTAATTAACAATTTAAAATAACCACAAAGTTACTTTTCTTTTTTTTTGGAGACAGTCTCATTCTGTTGCCCAGACTGGAGTGCAGTGGCACGATCCCAGCTCACTGCAACCTCCGCCTCCTGGATCCAAGTGATTCTCCTGCCTCAGCCTCCCAAGTAGCTGGGATTACAGGCACGTCCACCAGGCCCAGCTAATTTTGTATTTTTAGTAGAGACAGGGTTTCACCATGTTGGCCAGGCTGGTCTCCAACTCCCGACCTCAGGTGATCCGCCCGCCTCAGTCTCCCAAAGTGCTGGGATCACAGGCGTGAGCCACTGCGCCCGGCCACAAAATTAGTTTTCTTGGAAAGATTAAAGCAGAGGGGACTTCCTTACCATGCCAGCTGAAACTGGCTATTCTCTCTCTCCTTCTCCCTTGAGTTCTTTGTTAAGGAAAATAGTAACTATAATTATTGCCAACTATGTCAAATCATTGAAGAGCAGTTTTAAATTTTTATTTTATTATTATTATCATTATTTTGAGACAGGGTCTCACTCTGTCACCCAGGCAGGAGTGCAGTGGCACAAACGTGACTCACTGCAGCCTCGAACCACCCTCCTACCTCAGCCTCCTGAGTAGCGGGAACTATAGGCATGTGCCACCATGACCAGCCTTTTTTTTTTTTTTTCTTTTTTAATTTTTGTGAGATGGGCGGGGGGTCTCACAATGTTGCCCAGACAGGTCTTGAACTCCTGGACTCAAGTGATCCTCCTGCCTCGGCCCCTCAAAGTGCTGGAATTACAGGTGTGAGCCCTCGTGCCCGGCCTAAACAGCAGTTTTTTTAACGCTCCACTTAGGAGAGTATCATGAAGAACAGCGACTAGGCGTTAGGAAACCTGGATTATATATTGCCAGCTCTTTCTCAAACTAGTTATGTGACCACGGGCAAGTCACTTAACTTTCCTGAACCTGGTTTACTCATCTCGAAAATGTGAACATTTGGCTGGGTGTGATGGCTAACGCCTGTAATCTTAGCACTTTGGGAGGCTGAGGTGGGCAGATCACTTGAGGTCTGGAGTTTCAGGCCAGCCTGTCCAACATGGTGAAACCCTGTCTCTAATAAAAATACAAAAATTAGCCGTGCGTGGTGGCACGTGCCTGTAGTCCCAGCTACTCGGGAGGCTAAGGCAGGAGAATGGTGTGAACCTGGGAGGTGGAGGTTGCGGTGAGCTGAGATCGCGCCACTGTACTCCAGCCTGGGCGACAGAGCGAGACTCCATCTCAAAAAAAAAAGAAAGAAAGACCCAGAAGGAACATCATAATGAAATTGGAATTATCCCAGGAATGCAAAAATAGTTTAGCATCAGAAAATGTAAAAAAATAAATAAAAAGAAAGATCAATAGATGCAGAAAAGACATTTGGCAAAATTCAGCATGTATTCATCATTTAAAAACCAATACCAAAAACCTCTTAGCAAACTAGAAATTAAAGAAAACTTTTTTTTTTTAGCCGAGTGACGTGGCCCACACTTGTAATCCCAGCTACTCAGGAGGCTAAGGCGGGAGAGTCATTGAACCCAGGAGGCAGAGGTTGCAGTGAGCCGAGATAGAGCCACGGCACTCCAGCGTGGGTAACAGAGCGAGTCTCCATCTCAAAAAAAATAAAAATAAAAATAAAAACATGTAAAACTACATGTATTACTTAAATAAAACACACAAACACATAATAAAAGTATCACAACATGCCAGAGAATAATAATCACCAAATTCAGAAGAGTGTTTATCTTTGGGGAAGATTGAGGAGACTGGGACTAGAGACTTCAGATATATCTGACATATGTAACCTTTAAAAAAACCCAAGTCTCTACCATGGTAAAATATTTAAATTTGGTGTTACATACATAAATATTCATTATTTTATTCATTATACTTTCTAAATTTTTGAAATATTTCATAATTTTGAAAAAGTTAAATCATTAAAACAAATTTTTTTAAAAAACCTAATCAAACTTTTGCATTTTTTCTTTTTTTTTGAGACAGAGTCTGGCTCTGTCACCCAGGCTGGAGTGCAGTGGCGTGATCTCAGCTCACTATAACCTCTGCCTCCTGCATTCAAGTGATTCTCCTGCCTCAGCCTCTCAAGTAGCTGGGATTACAGGTGCCCACCACCACACCTGGCTAATTTTTGTATTTTTAGTAGAGAAGGGATTTCACCATGTTGGCCAGGCTGGTCTCGAACGCCTGACCTCAGGTGATCCACCCACCTCGGCCTCCTGAAGTGCTGGGATTACAGGCGTGAGCCACCGCACCTGGCCTGGGTCTTAACTTGTGTGACTTCTGTAGCCCTTTGTGAATGTAGGAAAATGCATATTTTTTATATGTATGTCAATACATATATATAAATATAATATGTATATATATTTTGAGACCAGGTCTTGCTATGTAGTCCCAGCTGATCTCAAACTCCTGGGCTCAAGCAATTCTTCCACCTCAGCCTCCCAAGTAGCTGGAATTAGGGCGCATGCCACTGCACCTGGCCTGAAAATATGATTTATTTATTAATTTATTGAGATGGAGTCTCGCTCTGTTGCCAGGCTGGAGTGCAGTGGTGATCTTGGCTCACTGCAACCTCTAACTCCCAGGTTCCAGTGATTCTCCTGCCTCAGCCTCCTGAGTAGCTGGGATTACAGATGCGTGCCACCACGCCCGGCTAATCTTTTTGTATTTTTAGTAGAGACGGGGTTTTACCATGTTGACCAGGATGGTCTTGATCTCCTGACCTCGTGATCTGCCTGCCTCAGCTTCCCAAAGTGCTGGGATTACAGGCGTGAGCCACCGCGCCGGGCCGAAAACATAACTGATTAACTCATTTTTTTGTTGGTCTGTTTCTTCTTACAGGCAGTTTTTCAGCGATGTGATTGCAGATACCATTGAGGAGCTGCAAGACTCGGGTACTTACAACAGTCTCCTGCAAGCTTTGAGCAAAGAGAGGGAAAACAAAATGCATTTCTATGACGTCATTGCCAGGTCAGAGTAATGTTAGGTTTACTTGCTTTGCTGTATTTTAAAGTGCTGAAACACTCTTACTGGAAATCCTTGAATGTTAAAGCAAACCAGCCATGTACTTTCCAGGGAAGATTACTAGAAGTCAGAATTTGGGTTTTCTCCCTAGTTCTGCTGGGACAGTAAGTCAGATTTCTAGGCCTTCGTTATCTGTGTTTACAATATGTCAAGACAATTCTTCCTTTTCTAGTAATCTTTCTTAATATTGAATTCGGCCGGGCGCTGTGGCTCACGCCTGTAATCCCAGCACTTTGGGAGGCTGAGGCGGGCGGATCACGAGGTCAGGAGATCGAGACCATCCTGGCCAACATGGTGAAACCCCGTTTCTACTAAAAATACAAAAAATTAGCTGGGCATGGTGGCAGACGCCTGTAGTTCCAGCTACTCAGGAGGCTGAGGCAGGAGAATAGCGTGAACCCAGGAGGTGGAGCTTGCAGTGAGGCGAGATCGCACCATTGCACTCCAGCCTGGGTGACAGAGCGAGACTCCAGTTTAAAAAAAAAAAAATTTTAATTCATTGAAAATCACTGAACAATAACAAATGAATGCCAAGGACAGTTTTTCTTTTCCAGAACGTTTCAACTTATGAATTCTTTCTAGAACTGCTTTTTTTTTTTTTTTTTTGGTTTGTTTTGTTTTTTTGAGACGGAGTCTTACTCTGTTGCCCAGGTTGCAGTACAGTGGCACGGTCTCAGTTCACTGCAACCTGTTTCCCAGGTTCAAGCGATCCTCCTGCCTCAGCCTCCCAAGTAGCTGGGATTACAGGTCTGCGCCACCACGCCCAGCTAATTTTGTATTTTTAGTAGAGATGGGGTTTCACCATGTTGGCCAGGCTGGTCTCGAACTCCTGACTGCAAGTGATCCACCCACCTCGGCCTCCCAAAGTGCTAGAATTACAGGCGTGAGCCACTGCACCCGGCCTGGAACTTTCTTTGGATGTCAATCCTGTAATGATTGATCCTGAATTTTTCTTGTCCTTTTTTGCTTATTTACCATCTGCATTGTTTTTATTCCATTCTTAGAGAGATTTCCTTAACTTTGTCTTCCAACTCTTTTTTTTTTTTTGAGACAGAGTCTCTCTGTCACCAGGCTGGAGTGCAGTGGCACAATCTTGGCTCACTGCAACCTCCGCCTCCCAGGTTCAAGTGATTCTCCTGCCTCAGCCTCCCTAGTAGCTGGGATTATAGGCACCCATCACTGTGCCTGGCTAATTTTTGTATTTTTGGTAGAGACAGTGTTTCACTATGTTGGCCAGGATGGTCTCAATCTCTTGACCACATACATGATCCACCCACCGTGGCCTCCCAAAGTGCTGGGATTACGGGCTCTTTTTCTTTTTTCTCTTTTTTTTTTTTTGAGACAGAGTCTCGCTCTGCCGCCCAGGCTGGAGTGCAGTGGCGGGATCTCAGCTCACTGCAAGCTCCGCCTCCCGGGTTTGCGCCATTCTCCTGCCTCAGCCTCCCGAGTAGCTGGGACTACAGGCGCCGCCACCTCGCCCGGCTAGTTTTTTGTATTTTTTAATAGAGACGGGGTTTTACCGTGTTAGCCAGGATGGTCTCGATCTCCTGACCTCGTGATCCGCCCGTCTCGGCCTCCCAAAGTGCTGGGATTACGGGCTTGAGCCACCGCGCCGGGCCTCTTTTTCTTTTTTTTCTGAGACTGGGTCTTGCTCTGCCTCCCAGGCCGAAGTGCAGTGGCACAATCACAGCTCACTGTAGCCTCAACCTGGGTCCCAGGCCCAAGTGAGTAGCCTCCCGAGTAACCGGGACCATGGGTGTGTGCCACCATGCCTGGCTAATTGTTTTATTTTTGTAAAGTCAGAGTCTCACCGTGTTAACCAGGCTGATCTCAAAACCGTGGGCTCAAACAATCCACCCACCTCGGCCTCCCAAAGTTCTGGGATCATGCCTGTAACCCCAACCACAACTGGCCTTATCTTCCAACTCTTGTGTTTAATTTTTCAAAATGTTATGCTAACATTGATTTCTAAGAGCTCTTCCCTGAGTTTTTCATTTTTTATGGTATCCTTTTTTGTCACTCAGGCTGGAGTGTAGTGGCATGATCTTGGCTCACGGCAGCCTCGACTTCCTGGGCTCAAGCAGTCCTCCTGCCTCAGCCCCTCAAGTCGCTGGGGACGCAGGCATGACCAGCTAATTTTTTCTATTGTTTTGTAGAGATGGGGTTTTGCCAGGTTGCCCAGGCTGGTCTCGAACTCCTGAGCTCAAGTTATCTGCCTGTCTTGGCCTCCCAAAGTGCTGGGATTACAGGTGTGAGCCACCATGCCCAGCCTTCTCATATAGTTCTAAGAACATTAATTATAGTTGTCTGTCTTTGTTTTAAATTGTCTTCTGTTTCTTGTATTGTCTTTCTTCTCTCTGAGTTACTTTTTCTCCCATTTGTTTTAGTTCTGTTTTGTTTTGTTTTGTTTTTGAGACAGTTTCACTCTTGTTGCCCATGCTAGAGTGCATGCGCCCGCCTCGGCCTCCCAAAGTGCTGGGATTACGGGTGTATGGCGCCTGCCTCGGCCTCCCAAAGTGCTGGGATTACAGGTGTATGGTGCCCACCTCGGCCTCCCAAAGTGCTGGGATTGCAGGCGTATGGCACCTGCCTTGGCCTCCCAGAGTGCTGGGATTATAGGCGTATGGCGCCTGCCTCGGCCTCCCAGAGTGCTGGGATTACAGGCATATGGTGCCTGCCTTGGCCTCCCAGAGTGCTGGGATTATAGGCGTATGGCGCCCACCTCGGCCTCCCAGAGTGCTGGGATTACAGGCGTATGGTGCCCACCTCAGCCTCCCAAAGTGCTGGGATTACAGGCATATAGTGCCCGCCTTGGCCTCCCAGAGTGCTGGGATTATAGGCGTATGGCACCTGCCTCGGCCTCCCAGAGTGCTGGGATTACAGGCGTATGGTGCCTGCCTTGGCCTCCCAGAGTGCTGGGATTATAGGCGTATGGCGCCCACCTCGGCCTCCCAGAGTGCTGGGATTACAGGCGTATGGTGCCCACCTCAGCCTCCCAGAGTGCTGGGATTACAGGCATATAGTGCCCGCCTTGGCCTCCCAGAGTGCTGGGATTACAGGCGTATGGTGCCCACCTTGGCCTCCCAGAGTGCTGGGATTACAGGCGTATGGTGCCCGCCTTGGCCTCCTAGAGTGCTGGGATTACAGGCGTATGGTGCCCACCTCAGCCTCCCAAAGTGCTGGGATTACAGGCATGAGCCACCACACCCAGCCTTCTGTTTTTTTGTTTTGTTTTGTTTTGTTTTTTAATTTACATCTAAATTTTTTAGAGGAAAATGTTACTCTGTCACCCAGGCTGGAGTGCGGTGGCACAATCATAGCCCACTGCAGCCTCAAACTCCTGAGCTCAAGTTATCCTTCTGCCTCAGCCTCCTGACTAGCTGGAAGACATTTGCCACTATGCCCAGCTAATTTTTTTTTTTTTTTTAAGAGACGAAGTCTCACTATGTTGCCCACGCTAGTCTCCAACTCCTGGCCTTAAGTGATCCTTCCACCTTGGCCTCCCAAAGTGTTGGGCTTATAGGTGTGAGCCACCGCACCTGGCTCTAGTCTCTGCTTTTAATGTTAGGGGAATTGTGTTGGGTCATCTTTGGCCGTCCGTTTGTATTTAAGAGTAAAATGCAAAGAAGCTGATGGATGCTGTGCTTTGCGCATGTGAACAGCGCTGCACTGTAGCAAGGCTGGGCAGAAAAGAAAAGCCCATCTTATCCCTCGGGCACCATACGCCTGTAATCCCAGCACTTTGGGAGGTCCAGTCTTTGCTGGGAGGGGTGAGGGGCAGTGAAGAAGTAATGGTTACTCTCTCACTACCCGTGTGTTGAGAGCTGGACAGGGAAAGGCTGGGGAAACTCACTGTCCAGTGAGCAGAATGTTTTTCGGTCCTCCTGTTTTTAGCATGGCCCTTCATCTCCACCTCCAGCTGTGTCTGGTGTCTGTCTCCAAGTCCAAATCCTCGGTTCAACCATTCCAGGAAACCAAAACTGACCAAACACCCGTGATCTCCCGAGAGAAGGAAAGGCAGCTGCCTGGCCACAGGCCTGGGGAAGGGAATCAGGTCATCCTGCTCCTTTGCCAGACTTTCACTCACTCCCCCTGGATTTCACCCTGTGGCACGGTTGAGCCTTTGAAGATGTGTGGTGGCTTCATGTGCTGAGCTTTTCTGGGTGCCTGTAGCTTTATTCCATTTTCTTCTTCTTGGTTTCTCATTCTGTACACATTTAGATCTCATTTTTCTCTCATCTGCTTTATATCTTCTTTCTTTTTTTTTTTTTTTTTTGAGACGGAGTCTCGCTCTGTCGCCCAGGCTGGAGTGCAGTGGCGCCATCTCAGTTCACTGCAAGCTCCATCTCCCGGGTTTACGCCATTCTCCTGCCTCAGCCTCCCGAATAGCCGGAACTACAGGCGCCACCACCTCGCCCAGCTAGGTTTTTGTATTTTTTTAGTAGAGATGGGGTTTCACCGGGTTAGCCAGGATGGTCTCGATCTTCTGACGTCATGATCCGCCCACCTCAGCCTCCCAAAGTGCTGGGATTACAGGCTTGAGCCACCGCACCCGGCCTATATCTTCTTTAATTTTGTCTGTCAGCTGCATCGTTTCTTCTCCCAATCTGTTTGTCTTTACAGGTTTACATCTTTTATTATTTCTTGCCTGTTATTTTAGTATTGTTTCAGGAGGGAACGGAGGGCTGGGCATGGTGGCTTACACCTGTAATCCCAGCACTTTGGGAAGCCGAGGTGGGCGGATCACTTGAGGTCAGGAGTTTGAGACCAGCCTGGCCAACATGGTGACACCCCACTTCTACTATAATACAAAAATTAGCCAGGCATGGTGGTGCGCACCTGTAGTCCCAGCTACTCAGGAAGCTGAGGCAGGAGAATTGCTTGAACCCTCGAGGTGGAGGTTGCAGTGAGCTGAGGTCACGCCACTGCACTCTAGGCTGGGCGACAGAACAAGACTCTGCCTCAAAAAAAAAAAAAGAGGGAACAGAAATAAATGCGTGTGTTCACCTGCTAAATAAAACGAGAAAGAGCACATAGTTATGTCAAGTGAAGTTAGGGTGAAAATTATACCCATAATATAACTTAGTTTTGTAAGAGAAAACTTATAGCGTGTATTGACTGGAAGGAAATATAGTAAAATTTCAATGATAGTTAACTCCAGATAGTGGGAGTATGGGTGATTTTTATTTCTCTTCATACTTTCTTTGCATTTTCCAGATTTTCTAAAATGGGCACTTTTTTTTTTTTAATACCTTAAGTTCTAGGGCACATGTGCACAACGTGCAGGTTTGATCCATAGGTGTACCTGTGCCTTGTTGGTTTGCTGCCCCATCAACTCGTCATCTACATTAGGTATTTCTCCTAATGCTATCCCTCCCCCAGCCCCCTACCCCTCAACAGGCCCTGGTGTGTGATGTTCCCTGCCCTGTGTCCAAGTGTTCTCATTGTTCAATACCCACCTATGAGTGAGATCATGGCGGTGTTTGGTTTTCTGTCCTTGCAATAGTTTCTCAGAATGATGGTTTCCAGCTTCATCCATGTCCCTGCAGAGGACATGAACTCATCCTTTTTTATGGCTGCCTAGTATTCCATGGTGTATATGTGTAAAAATGGGTACTTTTATAATCTCATGTAAACCATATTTGTTTGTTCCAATAAACCTGTCCTTGAATTAATAGTAGAGGGAAAGTATTCATTCTGCAGCTTTCTTATCTATTTTTTGTGATCTACGAGTGGGAAGTACAAAATCTATAGTTTGTTTTGGCAATGACAATCTCAAGATTCTAGTTAACTCTGTGCTTTTAAAAATTCCTGTCTGGGCTCAGTGACTCACACCTGTAATACCAGCACTTTGGAAGGCCAAGGCAGGTGGATCACCTGACGTTAGGAATTCGAGACCAGCCTGGCCAACGTGGCAAAAACTCCATCTCTAATAAAAATACAAAAATTAGCCAGTGTGGTGGCGCCTGTAATCCCAGGTACTTGGGAGGCCGAGGCAGGAGAATTGTTTAAACCCAGGAGGCAGGGGTTGCAGTGAGTCGAGATTGTGCCTCTGCACTCCAGCCTGGAGAACGGAGTGAGACTCTGTCTCAAAAAAAGAAAAATAAATACATAAAAATAAAAATTCTTGAGTAAAAATCCTTACCTAGCTGCAGTTTAGTGAGAAGTCTTTTTTGTTGTTTTGTTTTGTTTATTTTGGTATTGTTTTGCTATTTTTTGTTTGTTTTAAACCTAAATGATGGGATTGCTGGAGAGAAGCAGAAGGCTGTTTCTCAGAGCAGATTGAGAAACAGTCAAATAAAGTAGCTAAGTTCAGAGGCTCTGATGTCAGACAGTCCTGAGTTTGATCCCCTTTCTGCCATTTACTGTTTGTGTGACCATGGCAAGCGTGTTAGTCCAGGTCTTCTGAGAAATGGTTGCCAAGATGGAATTATTCACGCAAAGATTTTATCAGGGGAAAGATCTGCGTGAGGGAAAATGGGGAGGGAACCCTCAGAACCAGTGCAAGGCCGACCCCCAGTGAAGGAGAGGCTAGAAGACACGGCTGTGTTTGGTAAGGTCATCAGGAGTCCTTGAGCCAAAGTCAACCATCAGAGATGCCCTGGCTCCCCAGGAAAGGCCCGTCCCCTGCGATTCCTGCCACACTTAATAATGGGATGGGAGCAGTCTGTGGGCAGTGTGGCCTCGGCACACACAGAAGGTGTCAGAGCCTGGAAGCCGGGACCCTTGCTGATTTACGCCCCCTGTAGGTGGAGATCGGTGAGGCACATTCTCACATCCAGCACATCAGCTTACCTTAGCTGTCCACACCGCGTTTTCTCGTCGGTAAAATAGGAATCGGGCTGTTGTGAGGGCAAGAGTGTGTAATTAAAGTGTCCAAAGTAGAAAGGATTCTTCTTTCTCCTCTTGCTGTCTTTCTCTTCTTCACTTTTTCTCAGCAGCAACTATTTTAGATTCAACACTGATAAGCCAGAAAATCTTCCTCCAATCTATTAAAACAAATCTGTCTTTTAAAACGTGTTATTGAACATGTGTGAGGTGGACCAGCACCATTGGCATCCCTTGGGAACTCGATAGAGATGCATGTTTCAGGGCCCCTCCCAGACTTGCTGAGTCAGAGTCTCTGGGGGTGCAGTCGAGGAATTCGGTTTTCTTACGTGCAGGTGATCCTTGTGCACGCTAAGGTTTGAGAGGCACTACTCTAAACACAAATCATTCTTATATCTTCTAGGGAGGAAAAAGGAAGAAAACAGATAATATCACTTCAAAAACAGCTAATTAATGTCAAAAAAGAATGGCAATTTGAAGTCCAGGTAAGAATTACCTGCTTAACACCACAAGTAACTGAGCTAACACAGCTATTAAATATATGGAAGCCATCTTAAGCAGAGAAGAGTTACGCATAAAAGATCGTTGTTTCTTCTGGTGTTCCTTTACTATTGAAAATATAGCCGGGCGCGGTGGCTCACGCCTGTAGTCCCAGCACTTTAGGAGGCTGAGGCGGGTGGATCTCCTGAGGTCAGGAGTTTGAGACCAGCCTGGCCAACATGGTGAAACTCCATCTCTACTAAAAATACAAAAATTAGCCGGGTGTGGTGGCACGCACCTGTAATCCCAGCTACTTGGGAAGCTGAGGCAGGAGAATCGCTTGAACCCTGGAGGTTTCAGTGAGCCGAGATTGCGCCACTGCACTCCAGCCTGGGCGACAGAACAAGATTCCGTCTCAGGAAAAAAAAAAAAAAAAAAAAAAACCAGAAAATATAAAGAGAGCAACTAGAGAGCTGGCCTGGGTTGTACAGGTGTGTCTGGAGTATAGAGCCCTAGGAGACCCCATCCCCCTGGAGCTCTTAGTTCTCATCCTCGTATCCCACCCCACAAACACCCCCACACTCCCCCACAGGGGGCCTCGCCTCAGACGGTCTCTTGTATTCTCGCATCCCAGATGGAAAAGTACGTTCCTGAAGAAGACATTAAGCACGTTATGAACCTTCTTATACGTGGTGGTTGGGCTTTATCATGTTATTTATATTGTATTTTGAGGATAAAGTGGATTTGCGAGCTTTTGTGGTCATTAGGACCTAACCTCATATCTAGTTTACTTTTATAAGAAAATGCATCCCGAGTTTTAAGGAATGGACTTGCAAAACAAAGTTGGGGCTATAACCTAAGCAGTTAGAAACAAGTCATATTAGGATGACTGATAACTTTTCTATGAGCAGTTTAGAAAGTTACAGAGGATGGCCCGGCACGGTGGCTCACGCCTGTAATCCCAGCACTTTGGGAAGCCAAGACAGGTGGATCACGAAGTCAAGAGATGGAGACCATCCTGGCCAACATGGTGAAACCCCGTCTCCACTAAAAATACAAAAATTAGCTGGGTGTGGTGGCGGGTGCCTATAGTCCCAGCTACTCAGAAGGCTGAGGCAGGAAAGTTGCTTGAACCCGGGAGGCTGAGGTTGCAGTGAGCTGAGATCGCGCCACTGCACTCCAGCCTGGGTGACAGTGTGAGACTCCATCTCAAAAAAAAAAAAAAAAGAAAAAAAGAAAAAAGAAGGTTACAGAGGATGGCCTGTTATCAGCTTTTCATTGACTAGCTGTTTGGAGAAGTTTATGCTTCACAGAAGGGAATTTTCATTATTCCCTACATAGATGTTGGAAAACTATTTTATTTATATTTTTTATTTTTATTTTTATTTTTTGATGGAGATGGAGTCTCACCCTGTCCACTCCATCACCCAGGCTGGAGTGCAGTGGCGCGATCTCGGCTCACTGCAACCTCTGCCTCCTGGGTTTAAACAATTCTCCCACCCCAGCCTCCCGAGGAGCTGGGACTACAGGCGTGCACCACTGTGCCCACCTAATTTTTAAAATATTTTTGGTAGAGACAGGGTTTCGCCATCCAGGCTGGTCTCAAACTCCTGACCTCAGGTGATCTGCCCACATCAGCCTCCCAAACTGTTGAGATGACAGGCATGAGCCACCATAGCCAGCCTACGTATTTATTTTAGACACAGGATCTCACGCCGTCACTCAGGCTGGAGTGCAATGGCACAATTATAGCTCATTGCAATCCTGGGCTCAAGCGATTCTCGCACCTCAGCCTCCCGAGTAGCTGGGACTGCAGGGCACTCCACCACACCAGGCTGCGGTTTCATTGTCTGTAGAGGTGGGCGGAGGTGGGGTCTTGCTTTGTTGCCCAGGCTGGTCTCCATCTCCGGGCCTCAGGTGTTTCTCCCTCCTTGGCCTCTCAAAGCACTGGGATTACAGGCATGAGCTGCCATGCCCAGCTGAGAGAATATTTTTATTTTATTTTATTTTTACTGATTTTTGTTTTGTTTTGTTTTTGAGACACGGTGTTACTTTGTCACCTAGGCTGGAGTGCAGTGGAGTGATCTCAGCTCACTGCAACCTCCACCCCCCAGGCTCAAATGATTCTTCTGCCTCAGCCCCCAGGTAGCTGGGACTACAGGCACCCGCCATCACACCCAGATAGTTTCTTAAATTTTCGGTAGAGACAGGGTTCCACTACGTTGTCCAGGCTGATCTTGAATTCCTGAGCTCAAGTGATCTGTCCACCTTGGCCCACTGCCATAGCGCTAGGATGATAGGTGTGAACCACTGCACCGGCCTGAGAATATTGTACGTATATGTGGAATAATTGTTTTTAAGAGGTCACTAGGAGGTGGAAGGATCACTTGAGGCCTGGAGTGTGAGACCAGCTTGGGCAACATAGCAAGACTCCGTCTCTATAAATAGATAAATTATAAAAATAACCGGAAAAGTAAAAAAATTATCTGGATGTGGTAGTACACATCTGTAGTCCTAACTGCTTCGCAGGCTAAGGTGGGAGGACTGCATGAGCCTAAGAGGTCGAGGCTGCAGTCTCCCCACTGCACTGTAGCCTGAGCGACAGAGTGAGACCATCTCAAAAACAAAGTCATTAGACTTTCTTTGAAGATATTATCTTTAAGTCTTCCAAGCAAATTGCATAACACCTTCTCTTATTTTGTATTTGCCAATTACAAAGCACCTTAGGTAGCTCTAGGTCTTGATGTCATTATCCCTATTAACCGTCTGCGTGTAGCTTATATTTTTTGAAAACCACTTTTCTTCTCTGAGAAGCTGCATGAAAACTAGTTTGCGTTTAAGTTTTCTCTGTAACGAATAGACTTTTTCAGAGGTTTCCTAGCTCTTTTCCCTGAAAAACTCTCATAATTTAAAAAGACTAATATAAATATCTTCTATTTTAAAAGTCATGAATCTTTTGAGATTATCTTATAGTAGATAAACATCTTTTACGTATGTTTTAAAATAGAAGATATCTATTTATTTATTTATTTTTATTTTTGAGACGGAGTCTGGCTCTGTCGCCCAGGCTGGAGTGCAGCAGCTCGATCTCGGCTCATTGCAACCTCTGCCTCTCAAGTTCAAGTGATTCTGCTGCTTCAGCCTCCCAAATAGCTGGGATTACAGGTGTGAGCCACCATGCCTGGTTAATTTATGTGTTTTTAGTAGAGATGGGGTTTCACATATTGGCCAGGCTGGTCTCGAACTTCTGACCTCAGGTGATCCACCCGCCTTGGCCTCCCAAAGTGCTAGGATTACAGGCATGAGCCATCACACCCGGCCAGAAGATATCTACGTTAGTCTCCTTTTAAGCCCTCCAAAACAATGTCAGAAGAAACCTCAGATTTAGCACTTTGCCAGTTAACTCCCGTCCTGCCATGAGGACCACACCTGTTGATGGTAGAATTTTCAGCCCTTGCTCCTGAGACTTACCTCCTGAATTGTATTCTCAGCCAAAGTAAAACCAAAGCGGAATATCACTCAGATATTGGGATCATCAGCAAAAGAATAGGTTAAGAAACCAAGATTCTGCTTCATAGTGGGTCTTAAAAAACAAGAAAAGAAAGAAACCAAGACTGGAAGATCCAAGGCAAGCCTTGGAACAAAAAAGAGCTACCAAGAGGAAATCAAGTTAAATCCCTAGAGCTACTGAAAACCGGTCATCAGGTCAAGGTTGGAAAACAAGAAGATAGGAAGCATATGCACATTAGGGACCCGTGGGTCAGAAAACGATGCCAACAGGAATGGCAGGTTTCTGTATATGAAAGGGTTGGTGGTAGCTTAGATGTGTAGGATTAATTGCCTTAGATACTTGGCAGAAAGAAAGAGTCGCAAAGGAAATAAAGTTTCAGACTTCTGAACATCAATATCCAAAGCAAGATATCAATGGATCAGCATTTTCATGAAACTACTGGGAAAAAAAGGAACCAAGATTCGTATATAAAAATCTATCTTTTATATATCAGCAACAGACTTAGAATAGAAAATTGAAAATTTATATATATTATTATAATAGCATTAAAACTATCAATACCTAGCATTGAATCTAACAGCAGCAACAAAAATAATAGTAAAACACACACCACCAGGCCCAGCTAATGTCTGTGTTTTTAGTAAAGAAGGGGTTTTGCCATGTTGCCCAGGCTGGTCTCAAACTCCTGACCTCAGGTGATCCACTTGCCTCAGTCTCTGAAACTGCTGGGATTACAGGTGTGATCCTCCACACCTGGCTTTTTTTTTCTTTTTTTAAATTGAGATGGGGGTCTCTCTTTGCTGCCCAGGCTGGTCTTGAACTCCTGGCCTCAAGCAGTCCTCCTACCTCAGCTTCCCAAGTAACTAGGATTATTGGAGCTCAGAATTTATTCTGAGTCTATGGGCTCTTATAGTATCAGCCAGTATTCTAAGTCATAGACAGACAAATAGAAATGTTATTTTGTTTTATGTTTTTGAGATGTGGTCTCACTCTGTCCCCCAGGCTGGAGTGCAGTGGCGCGATCTCGGCTCACTGCAACATCTGCTTCCCGGGTTCAAGTGATTCTCCTACCTCACCCTCCCAAGCAGCTGGGATTACAGGTGCACGCCACCACACCTGGATAATTTTTGTATTTTTTTTTTTAGTAGAGACGGGGTTTCACCATGTTAGCCAGGCTGGTCTCAATCTCCTGACCTCAAGTGATCCACCCGCCTCAGCCTCCCAAAGTGCTGGGATTCCAGGCGTGAGCCACCGTGCCTGGTCATAATGTTAATTTAATAGAGAACTATTTTTTTCCTGTGGCTTTGGTCTCTTTAATAGACAACATCCCCATTTTCCTTTTGCTGTCCAACCAGAGTGGCAACCTGAGGTCTGAGAAAGTGCCAACTTCCCAGACAGTAGCTTCCAAACTGCCAGGAGCCAGTACTCCGTTCTGTACTTTGTGTACAATCATGAAAGCAGACACTGCCATTAAAAGCCCTTGGCTCACGTTAT